CGTTACGAGTTCACTACTGTTTACCTTTTCCTTTAGCACAGCACAATTAAACTAAATCAACTCTATAAATCTAAGTAAAAGCTTCTAATAAAAGAAGTAACTGAATGAGATTTTTTTGAAAAATCATTTTGAGAATGAGTGAAATGAATTTTGAATCCTTTCAACATGCTGAAAAGCTCTTGTAACTATTGTATTCGTAACTTGTTAAATATAAGTGGTCAACAGTTGATGAGAGATCAACGTCACGTGCAACGTGCAGTATAAGATACAGAAATATGAAAGGAAGAATGTTAGTTACCATCTCTGGAATTAAGGAGCTTAGATCTTCACCGATACAACAGATCCATTTCTCTCTGAAATGAATTTGTATAAAAATTAAACAATGCAATGTCGATGAGTAAATCGAGCACTTAAATATTCTCTCGAATAAGGACCAAATAGAACAATATTCACTATAAGCTCAATAGTTCATTGTTTTGGGAACTAACCATGAAAATACCTGGAAACTGTGCAGTGAATACAGATCTTTACTCATTTGACAGAATCCCTTGCCTAAGAAATGATTGTCCCAAGCGATCATCGTGCTCGAAGATGATTGCTGCTTGGAACAGTCCTCAAATTTGAGCACGTAGTATTTTTAGTTAATTTTTTTTTTTATAAACAATGTAACAATGGTAGTATCAATGCATTACTTATCTTCTTCCAATAACAAATTCTTATCAGCAACAAGTTTGGATAGTAATTAGATAAGGAAAAACGTGAGTTGTATTTAGTTTAAACTCTTTAATCTATTCCTTCGAGTTGTATAAAACTTGATTTCATTGCTGCAAAGTCAATTTTCAAAAGTTTAATTCCAGTATATGGAAAAATTGAATGTTTTCAGCAAAAATCTTTGTGTTTCTTTCAGTTCCTTTCAAAAAACATTGGGAAATTATCAGTATATAATCAATATTATTATCATAACCGTAAAAAATAGTATAACTGTAAGTGGCGTCTATAATATCAATGCAGTGCAGTGCCATATGGACCTTATGCAAGAAATGCAAACAGAGGACAACCACGTTAACTATTTCCTATTGGTAAATGCTTGGATTCATTTTTGTTTGCTCTTCTAAATTATAGCGGGAAAAAGTATTTTAATTGGAAATTTTTGATATAAGTATTCAGTCTATAAAATAAGCAGAAAAGATGCGAACATTTCTAAATAATTCTGAAACAGAGCTGTAAATACCTTATATTGTCATTTTCTATTTCCTAGATATGGAATTCCTGCAATGAAAGCTCTTACTGTTTTTAAAATTAAATAAGTGAACAGAGAATACGGGACTGTTGAGGCTATTTTAAGAACTGAAATATGACAGCTAAAAATTTGACAACGATAACATTAAAAAGCAATGACTTATGACTTATGAAAAAAGAAAAGAAGCAATCAAAGATATTCATTCAAATTTAAAGGGAATTCAAAGAAAATGTTAATTATAACTCTTTATTCGTTCCATAACCACGAATTATTTCTTAAGTAAGACTTCATATTCTCAAGTTTTTATTTGACAATATTTCAATGGAAATTTAGAAATATCCAATAAAAAAGGCTGAAAATCCAACATTTCAATTCTTACTATTTAATTATCCATGGTTAAATGCTGAAAAAATATAGCTTTTGTATATTTGATAAATGCGTTAGACTATTTTCTACTCGTTTATAATTCATGTGATAAGCGCGAATGAATTCCGTTAACAGAAAAGTGTTTGGACATTTTAATGCTAAAATGAGTTTTATTAAAATGCACTAAATACTTTATGCATGTAATTTCGTTATTTTAAAACAAATTAACAATGTCATTTGGAATCAAAATTAAAAAGATGTTTCATAGACGAATTGATGCAGCTTATTAAATGATACGTGAATAAGAAGTCAACTGGAACGAAAACAAAGTTAATTTCGATTTAGATAATAAAGATGGACGTTCCTCTTCTATTCAAATAAATTTCATTTTAGAGAAGATCACAGTGTTTTTTTTTTTCTTTTCCTTAATGAAGTGAACTAAAATGTGAGAAACATCGTTGTTCGTAATAATATCAAATCAGTGACAAGTTTATAAATGAGTGATACATAAGCTTACTACACCAATAAACCATTTGTTTGAGTAAAAACCTGTTTCCATGGTCGCAGCTTTTCATAATTGCTCTATTAAACAACATAAATAATGAACTTTGCAAACAGTGATGTAAAGAAGATTATTAAAAAGACATTACAAATAAAACTTCATTCAAAGTCTTTGATCATTTTTTATTACCCACAAATGATATTGAGTGAGTAGTAAAGAGATGTCAGTTTTATACAGCAAAGCTCAGAAATGACAAGTAAATCAAACAGCTTTCAAATCGTCACGTGATTATTATTCATTAAGGACTCATTAGCGCTACGAGGAAAAAATTATGAAAGAACCTATAGAATTGTTATGGAAGATCATGATACATTAACTAGCAATGGGAAAAAGATAAAAGCGCTGGCTTGCAAAATCATAACAAACAGTTCGAATGAAAACAGGAAAGAGAGGGTGCAATTTTCGAAATGTCCAATCAACTCCCTATTTGTGCTTCATTTCAATTGATTCGTTACATTTTGAGCAGATGCAATCAGATAGGCGGCAAGTGAATGAAAAATTTAGAAACAAACATGTAAGAATAAGCAAAGCGAATAAATTCTGTTTCTCCAGGCTTATGCATTACAAATGCACTTATAAATTAGAGTTTTCATGGAATGTTCTAATCTAGTGATGCAAAAAATGACGCATAATTGAAAACTGCTAGAATTTATTATTCTTTAGACAGATTCTGACAATTTAAAAATGCTTCTTCAACAACAGCAGTAAATGTCGATCTTCCATTTAAACGATAGAGCATCCTTTCTGAAACTTTGATTTGACTAGAAGGGAAATTTCTAATCAAACTATCACCACAAACAAATTATCTCATATTATCTCAAACAAGACTACTTATACATTTAATATAGGAGTTACAAGCATGTGGTATATTCTTTGCTATTAGTGCAATTTGACACAGTCTAGAAGAACTTCGGTTTAAAGAAATTTTGTAATTTAAGTAAAGTCACAAGCAGATCATAAACGAATTGTAGGAGACGAAGAAAGAAATCAGAAACCAGTGGATTATTGGACAAGTCACCATGGGAACCAGATAATGGAAGACAAAACAGAAAGCCAACCTTACTCAGTGGGTCAATCGAAAATATTTGTGGCGCATCCAATGCCGTTGATTCTCACATTAAAATTTGTTAGCTCTTGAAGCATTCCGAGTATTCGAACTTCTGGAATCACTGCTGACTCTTCTTATGCCTTGTGAAAGATAAATGTTAAAACCTTTAGTATTTAATTAATTTCTTCGCGTTTTGGCACTAAATCAGACTATTGTATTGGTGTTTTAACATTTGAAGTTCTCATATTCGAAGTTTCAGTACTTCTTCATGGAGATTAAACACAACTTAAACATAAATTCTAGCTTTGGACAAGTTAGGTTAAAAAAAGGCAACAGTTCAGACCAAACATGAATGATAATTTTTTGGGTGTTTTGTACATTTGCACTTCCATTGTTTATACAGATATAGATAAAGGTATTAATAGCTAAAGATATGCCGACTTATCGGATCAAAAACGGTTACACTCAAAGCTTACTACCGATCAATGACCACTGATGAAAAAATCAAGTTTTGAATGCAGAATTACGTACAGAAATTATTTGAATGCATAAAAGAATGAATAAATGCACACTCTACCATACTCTACCCCTGCATGAAAAGCAATGTGATTGCAGAGCTCTCTGCTTGACTGCATCTAAATCTTCCATTTCAAGATTCTTTTTTTTGTGGTTTTCATTACATGCAGAAGAACCTTCACCTCCTTTCATTTAGATTCTTAATTCCTTCAGTGTAACTGCTATAGTATTATTAAACTTTCGACATGGTGCATCACCTATCCATTTAGTGTATTACGCTGAATTATTTCTCCTTGAAAAAAATAGTAAATACAAAGGAATTTAATAACTAAAGGTCTTTTCAAAACAATGGTGAACTATTCAACAAACAGTTTATGAATAAACCACAAGCACTAACTTGTCTGAAAAAGTCTCTTCCTCGAAATACTTATATAGTACAAATCTAATATAAATAATCTTCCTGAAAACAAAACAAAGATTCAAAATGAAAAAATTTTCAGTAAATACTTAGGACGTGAAGATTAGAATAAAGAATTTACATATATATATTTTGCTCTTGTATGTACATGTAAAAAATTATGAAGATTGAAAAACCCCCTTCCCCATATATTAGTTTGTAGGTATAGCATTATGTATTTTGTAGATGTTGTTGCCATACAAGAGCATAAATATATCTAACCACCGAATACTAATTCATTTTCATTAAGTACTTTCTATACAAAACCGCAGATGGATTAAAAAATGCCTTAAACAATATTAAATCTAAAAATAGCTCAGATCATCTGTTTAAATATACATTCATTGGAATGAATTATTTATGTAGATCCACATAAATATAGGTTACTGGTAAAAATAACCCTAATTACAGTTATCGTAATGTAGGATACGTTTATTATAATAAGTATAGATTTATGTTAATTTTTAGACTTGTAGTTTTCAAAACTAAAGATTTTGTTCTATTTAAGGTTACTTAAATTTTTCACCTTTAGTTTTTTTACTTTTTCATTATGTTTTTTTTTTTTTGCTTTTTAGTTTTTTTTTTTTTTTTGCTTTATAATATATATATGCAACTCCTGAAAAAATGGTGATATTTTTAAAATGCGTAAAGCCCTGCATCATTTATATCGTTTAAATTATATTCAGGAGGAAAAAATAAATACAACAGTAAAATCTTAGACATTATTTTACAGCTGGATTAAATAAGAGAAAAGTATCGCAGAGGGAGAGAGAGAGAGAGAGGCATAACCAATATAAGATAAAAACAAGCTTTATTTTGCAAGCAAATGTTGAAGGAGCTCGTACACAGAGTTAGTGATACCCCATGATAATAGCGACCTGAAACAAACCACAATAAGTCACGAACTGTTTGAGATATTGAAAGTACAGAAATTCCAAGCATTTTATCAATCACCAGGGACGGCTTTGTTGTACTTTATTTTCACAAAGTACTCCACCAGCGAATCTTCAATAACGTCTGGTCTGTTTCATTTCATTTCAGATGTTCAGTTGAGCAGCAGTCTCCTAGTGTCCCAGCTGTATGGCTCAGAATAATGGGTAAGATAACTTCATACTCATGTCGGAAACACGGACCAATATATCATCATCGCCATCATGAAATGATGAAACAGTGGAGAACCGAACATTGAGATGCAAACCAACACATCGCTGAATAACCACTAAACCACTGGGACCTAACGAACAATCCCTACCATGGGACGGGGCAATATGTATTATTTTTCATATCTGATCGAAGCCTTACAATAGTAGAGAATTACTTCTTAGATCAGCGCGCATAATAAACTTCTAAAGAAACATAAATACCTTGTATAATTGAGGGTAATTCCACGAAACAGTTCCTTGAATGAACCATTCCGTTCAATCCAAATAATTTGGAAAGTTGCCCAAGCTGATAAAAATGGACTATTTACAGTGCTTTGCATTCGCTGCTTAACCACATTTAATGGAAAGAAGAGTGATGATATAGAAGCACCAAGTACAGCACCTGATATGAAATCACCAATAAATGTCACCAACTGCTCCGGTGTCCTGCGATAAAACAGTATTTTACTGCTAGCTCCGCAACATGAGAATCTAATGATTTCAATTATTTCAACAAATTCACCTCTCACTAATATAGCGGGATATGTAGTGTTGATCACAATTAATAACTAAATCACGAAATGGTTTCCTAAGCGAGAAGAAAAGGACATTACTTGAACCATTTCTCAACAGTACAACTGTGAATCCACGGTACAATTCCTTTGCTCCAACCTAAATGAATGGTAATCATAAACAATATGTAACAAAGCAAAATATTATAAATTTTCTGCAGATAATACAGATAAGGTCTACTGTTTCGGTGATCGAGAATTTTCTCGGATTCAAAATGTATAAAAACGAACAAAAAGTTAATAAATAATGATTTTAAGATGCGAAAAGAGTTATTATCTTTTCGGAATCAAAGAAACAGTTGACTGCTAACGGTTACTGATGAGTAAAAGCATTAATACACTTATCCTATGATGACATACCATTTCTTTTAATCGTAAACTACATTTAGAATAACTACTGATGGCACAGACTTAAAATTACCTTAGCAAGTTCTCTGAAAGCATGAATGGCATTTTGATAGCGCTGATTGTATTCCGGTGACTGCAAAAGGACCTGCGTCCGTTCCAAAGGACATGAAATAGCCTCAACCGCACCTGCTAAAAAATTAAAGTATGATAAAACACATTATCATTAAATATCTGCAACTAAGCAACAATGAATGACAACTTATTTCTTAACATTAACAAAAAAAAAAATGCAAAATCAAATGAAATAGCACAAATTCCATACAGCTAACCCATAAATGCTGCAAACGCAAAACATGCAATACGAGTCTGCTTTGTTTGACATTCCGAGCAACCAAAATAACGATGAAATTTATCAAACATTCCGAACATTACTGATCGTGTCGTTGTTCGCTGTATAAGAGGTGGAAGCATTCCTCTGTACAACATCCAACAACCTTCATTTCTTAACTAAAAATACACTATCCTTCAACTTGATTCCACACTTTACATATATCAGTATCGACTTCTTCAGATAACAATGTGTCGATTTTATCTAATTCTTTACGCGTCTTCACACTTGGGCATTTAAAGAGTACATAAACTAATGGGCATATACAGTTGAGAAAAGCATGTTTCTAGTTCAAAAACATATCTATTAGGAATATAATAGCTTAATCATTCATTTTTTATACACCTTGTTTTCTTGAACTAAATGACAGTATCATTTAAATTCAACTTTCAAAAGTTGAACTAACCTGTTCAAAAACTTCCTTCGCAGTAATACCCTGCAGCTGTTGACGAAATATCACTTTAGTTTGAGGATAAAGCAGCAAAGTCTCAACAAAGCCTGCACCCCATCCAGCAAGGAAGTTTTCGTATTTTTCTTTTTGCATTGCATTGGAAAAATCACTCTATAATTTCTCAATCAGCACGATTAAGTAAACCCTAAAATAACTGAAAAACACAAAGGAGGAAGCGACAATGAATATTTTAGAAGTGAAACAAATTGCTATGTGTAAGCCTTAGGCGTTCACAAAAAAATACGATTACAGCTACATAATTTACTTCGATCATTTGTGTTTATTATTCACCATTTTAAAAGGCAAAATTCCTGAACTTTCAAACCAGTCAATTTAAATGCTTCAGGATTATAAAAATGAAATACATCAAATTCACAAAATGAACAAAGAACTCTGCCATGGTTCATTATGTCTGTGCCAGGATATTCATCTTTTCTCCGTTGGATCGGCGGCTTCTCATCTACAACTGATCCCATTCCCTCATGACCATATCCCTCTAACAATGAACGGTGCGGTCTTCGCTTTTTTTTTTTGGAAATTTTTGGTTTCCAAAGATAGCATGAAGAGGAAGACTGCGTAAATATTTCAAACTATAAATCGATGCAAAAAATGAAAGTCAAATGGAAAGAGAACCACAGAGAATGGTCCAGATTTGAAGAAATATTTATTGCTTTCACTGAAAGACTCACTATTGCCATTACAACGTTCATAGTATTATAATTACAGTTGATGAATTCCTCACAAATTTGAAAGATATCTACACTAAGTCGAGGAGACCAATAAACATACAAAAATAGTGCACAGCCGAGAAAGAGCAAATTCTACGACCATATAAGTTTGAAAACGTTTAATATGGAATATGAAGACAAAAAAGAAACTTTATAGGTCAATCTTGAACTTTATACGGTTAATTGAAATTGATGTGGATGCATACAATGCGTTCTTGCACATTGCAACATTAATGTATTTACCCTGTAAGATGGTGATGAATTTATCGTGGAAGGGAAGAGAATTTATTCATCTAACATCCAACTTCTAACAAAGTGCATCAGATCTTTGAGTAAGTAACTGATCATCAACCCACGAACACATGCATATAAAGAAGAGACTCTCCGCGTGGTGTTTCACGGTTACCCGGTATCTGCGATGATCACCTAGTCATCATGATTCAATACATCGGATCTACTCGCGAGATGTTGTAATAACGCTATGATGTCGTTCAATCAAACAGTCTTCTGTTCCATTTTCTTCCACATGTTACAAAGCTATTTAAAAAATAGAGGCTTCAACAAAAAGGAGATTCAACTCAAATTTAGTGCTTATCCCAACCAATATCAATGGAGCATAGTGAGTCGTTAATGACGTGAAGTACAGCAAAGAAATAATTTACCAAATCGAAATGTCGTAGAAGAAAATGTTGGTAGTAGAGGTAAATGTTATCATCTGATCAACATAAATTAATCCTTAAGACAATCGTAAAACTTCGGGAATGCCACTATATCGGCCATTGTTAGGGGTTTCTTATTCGGACATCCTGAAACGGGACACTCACATAACAGACGTCGTTTCTTGCATTCGCCAATATTAGCTAGTACCGATTCTCGATCATAAACATGCTTACAGATCTAAAAAAAAAAAATTAATGAGCAGAAGTTAGTCTTATGCAACACGCCCACGAATGGTAAACGTACCTTATTCTGCACTGGATCTTTAATGTCCTGCTTAGTGTAGGGATCTTTTCTCGAGTAATAAATCCTCTCCACCTCAACAGTGCTACTTGTGTCCGCTCTCTCGACCTTTCGTAGCGCCTCTATCCTATCCGCCGCTTTGCCTCGTTTATTTGGCTGTTCCCAGCCGATTTCTTCTATCCTCAACAAACAAATAAATTAAGCTTTAAAACTGATCATTTTGAATTTCCTTTAAAAAATTCCAGGAACTGGTAGTAAAAAATTTTCTGCTGTCCTTCAAGGTACTCTGTAAGCAGTTCAAAAATAACCGTTCTCTGAAGCGATCTCGTGATGTGTCTACAGTTTCACCGCTTCCCTGGCCTTGCATCTCCTTTAACACTTCAACTTCTATAGTTGCTTCCAGATCCAACTGATCGATATATTCCAGCAAGTTACGCATCCGTTGATCCCAATCACTGTGCTGGGTATTCCGTTTGATCGACTCTACTACCACCAGCACCTTATCTAAGCTTTCTCTCCATCGTCCCATCTCTGTCAAGGCTCTTTTACAATCCATTTCTCCCTTTCAAAAGGTCAACCGTTACCACCTTTCGTGATACCTCGAACATCCCCTCCCTCCAACCACCACAACACAATCTGGGCAGAGATTCTGTTTGAAAGGCCGTATTAAAAACTTGTACGAGAAGTGAAATAGCATACAATGGACCGATGGTGGACAGCTGCAGCTAAGGGTGGGTTCGCGTTTAGTTGACCGTTGGTGGGTATTGTTAAAAGTAAGCATGGGATGTCTTCGTTCGTCATGAATTTATAAGCATCGAATTTTGTGGGATTTCATAGGTTTAAATGAAGGTCTTTTTTGAAAACTTTTTTAATCTGAATTTGTTTCAAATAGATAGATCACCAAGTCACGCAAACGACTCAGTCGCATCAAATAGTGCCGGGCGGATGAAATGCATACGAATAATGCAGATTAAAAACTCTGCTTTTCTCGACATCTATATCACTTTAATTTTTAGAATTGGTTTGATCATATTCCATAAGATACCATAAAATGGATATTAGCAATGCTTTCTGTTTCTGTTCTATCATGTAGCTGATTTCGTCAATTTCAGAATTTCTCATCAGTTTTGAATTGCTCCCTAAAAATCCTTCATTGTGGCTCAGTCAGTGAAGCGTTCCAAACTCAGCCATTCCGCCATGAACAAACTGAAAACTGCACAACGCGACAAAGTTGGTTATTCGAAAAAAGAAAATAAGCAAATTTGATTTTTACTGTTTTTTTTGTTTACAACTGTTAATTTAAGGAATTTGGTAAACGAATTTTCAGATTCCCTGATATTACTTATATTTATACAAAATTTATTCAAAGAAGCAATTCTTTTTCACGATATACTTTCACGTATTCATTATCAGTTTCGTATTTTTATGATCGAAGACGATTCAAAATACAGTTATTAAATGAAGCAATGAATCAATGATTTGATTAGTCATCCATGGATGATACTATTAATTCCGAATCTACAACAAAAATGATAGTATTTTTGTTGTAAATATAAGACGGAAGAAATTATTGGCTGAAGGTTTCTAACGTATTTTCAAGATAAAGTGAGCGATTGTGCATTCCTCCCAGACAATGTAGGAATGAATAACGCTAGGTGGCCTCGAAGTGCAGATAAATTTCAGGCAAGCGGAGTAGACAGTATTGTTTACTTTTGGCTAGTTAAGACATTTCAGAAGTCAATGTGCAGTCTTGCCTAGCATGTATCAGCATCACTTTCGATGATGTTTGTACGAAAACAACTATTTTCTTACAAAGAGTTCATTTGGTTTGGAAGATAATTAGAAGTTCATTAGTGTGCTCATCAACCAGATGAGAATGAATAAGTTAAAAGCAAAAGACTACATTTGTTCTGTTTGGTTTTAAACTATAACTATAATTCATTTAATACCTTTGAAGAACTTTGGTTAGGTGAATTAGCGTAATTGCTTCTCAGTTTTTTTTTTTTTTTCAGTCTTGGTTCTGGAGATCACAACATTAATCTTCACGGAAATGGGTCACATAATTATAATAAAGCATGAAAGTCTTCATATTTCAGGTGCGAGATTTTATGCAATGGACACAAAGCAATGAAAAAACGGCAATTCATTGTCTGAGTAGTCAGAACTGGAATCTGGAGTTAGCCTGCGATGCTTATTACCAGAATCCACAATTGTATATGTGTATGGCAGATATGGTTGACCAAAGAAGTCTTCACGCTTTTTTTCTCAAATATGCAAATAGTACTTTTTTTTTTCAATTTACTTATGCTTACGAAGGCAACAGATTATTTTGAATGCAGTTGTTCTTTAAAATCCCTTTATAAAATTATGAGTTTAAATCATGTCAGTTTCCGTCGGAAGGACCGCAGTAATTGAAGAAAAATTTTGTTATGGTAATATGACTTTAGAGATTGAGGTTACATAACGGAAGTACTTTTAAAATTCATTTATTCTTATTGAATATATTGGTTTGCAGATAGGCAGGACAATGACCCATCATGTATCGGACCGCATGGAATGCTGCGCTTCCTAACAGATCTTGGTTTAAATCCAGCTGATCGAAGTGTATTGATATTAGCTTGGAAACTCAAAGCAAAGACTCAGTGCGAGTTTACCTGGGAGGAATTCAGTACCGGTCTCAACGAGATGAAGTATTTGTATTGATCGTAAAACTTTTGTATCTTTTCATTAACGTTATAGATTCACTTTATAATGATTTCGGTCATGATTTTATTATTTTCCGTTGATATCGATATTTGGTGATAGAAAGGAGTAAGGAATCAATGCTGCATGAAATGGAGGATGTTCATCTTGCGGACGGCTGAGATGAAGATGACTAGAATAAAAGACGACTCGAATTATCATTGCTCACTAATGAATTCTGTTTAAGCTAATAATATCTAGTTCAAGCTTCAAAAACTTTGTCTTTGTAATCAAACACTTTTGGAATTCTACACATAATAGGTAATGTCTTTCAGAGTAGATTCTTTGGAGAAATTGAAAGCAAAAATGCCAACGCTAAGCGAGGAACTTAGGAACCCTATCAGTTTCCGAGATTTCTATCAATTTACTTTCAATTACGCTCGTGCATCTCCACAGAGGACGTTGGGTAATATAAATACTACAAAATGTTCATGAATTATCTTCACTTAATATTTTAGTAATCAAAGTAATTTTATCATTGTCAGTAGACTTGGTACTAGTTTTAAGTATTAGATTTCATCGTAAATTAAAGCCACTTAAGGTATAAAAATGTTGTTCTTTTTTTTTTTTTTTTTTCTCTTCTGCCAAATAGTTTAACTAATTTCGACGTTGTTAATGATATAAATGACTAATTTTTATTTATTCTAGAAGTAGAGACGGCGATTGCTTATTGGGAAATTGTTTTCGGCGGCAATTTCGGTTATCTTCCTTTATGGACTAGTTTCCTTCGAGAAAAGGTTTGCTTCTCATTCTGGTACCGATTCAAAATTTTTATGCAGGAAGAGATAAAATTATTTACTAATTAATTATTAAGTGAGCGCTAAGTAGAAACTGATGTCGATCATCAACTGAATTCGAAGTTGTAATGACATGGGTTTTTGGTTGTGTATTTTCCTTGGAAGACAATTTTTGGAATAGTGAAGTGCGCTAATCACCTTTTCTATTCAGGAAGTGAAATGTATACCACGTGATACGTGGAACTTACTCCTTGATTTTTCTTTGACGATTGCGCCAGATTTCAACAACTATGATGCAGAAGGAGCATGGCCTGTTTTGATTGATGAATTTGTAGAATATGCAAGAAGTAAAATACAGTCATAGAAAGCCGTCCATATTAACATTTATTCTTTGATTCTTCCCTTATTTTGAATTTAATTTGTGGAGGAGTGTCCAGAAATCTGGTTCCTTGCATTACAGAAGTTCATATGCATTCAGTAATCGTAGCAGCTGTTGTTTGTTAATTACTGTATATATTTTGAAGATTTGATTGTGATAGCAGTGTTCTTTTACGTGTTTTGTTCACATAGCATCGTTTTTTTTTTTTTTTTTTTTGAGATATTATTTTTGAATCGAATGACAAATTTCGACAGTTTGAGATAGTTCCGTTCTCGGAATTGGTCGTAGAATTATCATAAAGTGAAGCTTTGTGAATCTATCATGAAGATAGACTTTTAGTGAAAACAATCCTCAAATATTTTGTTTATTTAATATAATTTGATCTAGTACTTTCTGATTGTTATATTTTATAGAAATGTTTCTAATAAGCTTTGATAAATCAATATCACGGAGCTGGTTTTCGAAGCAGCGGTGAAGGGTCACAGTTCAAAATGGTGATTGAGTTAGTAGTAATTGTGATAATTACTGTTCATTTTTCCCGATGACTGATGCACTTAAAGGATATGTTGATTAGGCATCAAAGAGCTATTAAAGAAAAATCTGAACTTTGCAGGGTTGCCTTCGGTGTGCGGTATTTTATCCAAAATTGGCACAACGTATTTTTGCATGAAAATGATTATTTCACTGTGAAGAAACTAAATTTTTAAATTTAAAAACTAAGTTATGGACTGTGGAAATACTGACTTCTATTAAAAGAAGAATTTTTCTACTAAATAGAAAAAATTGCATTGAATCAGTAATTGATAGCCTGACATTAAATTCTAACAGTGTCATTGGATTGCGATCAAGATGTTGGTAGAGGTTTTGTTTTCAGATATAATATTAATGTTGTCACGGTTGAGCAGCTTGGTGTTTATTATAATTACTACATTCAACCTAAATCTTTCATTTTTAGTTTATTTCTTAGTATTTAACGGTTGACGGATTCAAATAAGTGCTCTTTAAATGATTTGGGAGTATTATCAGTCACCGAATTGTAGAGTTTCATCGGCATCAGCAGAGAATTTGAGAAATGAAAGGTTGTGGGGAGAGTGTTTTTTGTCGTTTAAATAGAGAATTGCACTTTTTTAGGGCAGTGCGGAACAAAAAGCTAACGATGCATAGCTAACAAAAATGTGTTCAAACATAGTATATCGGGTTGGACAAGTGCGAGATTTATCGTTTTTGAAAGTTTCCAGGACTGGAGAAAGTCACTGATGTGGGAGTTTCCATAATTTTGTGCAGATGTACAAAAGCTTATTGTGCTATTTAGGACTCAAGCACTGTTGTGATCTTTTTCTACGATTAAAAAACTGGTTATTTTTATGAATTCTGAAAACTGTGAAGCGGAATGATGAAATTTCGTATCCTCGATATCTCCCTTTACCGTTTCGAAAATTTTGGACAGTGTGGATTGCATGAGTCTTTTTTCTCCAATTTTAATCCGCAGTGATTTTTACTGCTGCTGCTAGCAGGAGGCGGAATCCTTAAAATTCATATTCTTGAAATTTTAACGTCTGTAATTGCTCTAACTTATGGTACATAATGGTTCCATTAGAAAAATTGCAAACGGTAAAGCGATTAAGAGATACAGAACAGAAAAACCGGAAATCCATTGCATCTGTGAGAGGTTACTTTGCCATAAATTGTATACATCTCTTCCTTTTTCATCGATTAGTCATTTTTGAGTGGCCTCTCAATTTAACGGCATCCTACGTGCTCAATTTATACTTAGTTATGAGATGGGCTCAATGAATGTCCGAAAAATCGTAGTTGTTATGCAATTAGTTTTTTGTTGATCAAAAATCAAATCGCTTCTATTTATTCATATATATATATATATATATATATATATATATATATATATATATAATTTTAAACAAATGTTAGAATTGAAGCGAAGGGAACTCAAACTGGTGCCAGACAATTCTGAGAAATCCATAAATGACCAATTTCACATCATACTGGAAAGATACTATTTAGGATGTTGAGGGATGCAGTTACCTCTGGTATATCAATTTTTTAGTTCATTTAAAGTGGGAAAAAGGACTTTTAAATATAAATATGATTACTTTTATTTTGAGCTGAACACAAAATTCATCACTTCAGCACGAAATACCATTGCTATTATAGCCAACGAAGTGATAAAAGAAAGCCACTAGAACAATGTTTTACACGATGAATCCTCTCTAAAATATACCTCTGCACTTTTCCCCTTATTCACTTGCATAAAATTTTTTTAGCTTTGAATAGGTCTGCAAGTTTACTTATCGTTATTTCCTATATTTTGTATAATATTTGGCATTCCATATGAAATAATTTTGTTTTAGAATAAAGCTAAATAATAGCATAGCTTCTTTTCCTTCTTTTATTCAAAAGAACCGATATGCTTAGCTAATGTCTTTTTTCAAAACAGGCTTTTTTTACATTCTATACAATCATTTATTAACTAGTTAGTCTTTAGCTGCTTTGATATATTAGTATAGCTCATTTCATGAACTGCTTGCAGATGGAGACTGACAGACCGGATATTTTGTCGTTTGAATGTTACTCATTTGAACCGAATACTGAAAAGTACTTACATCAGCAGTTGCTTTACATACAACCCATGAAATTGCTTTATCATCTCAGCGATCACACAATTTCTCTCATTGAACCACATGTTCCAAATAATGTCATTTTGCAGGTAATAATTTTCACGTTTAATACAGCGCTATATAAAAGCTATATAAAAGTCAGCAAACAGCCTGTTTCTATTTCTAATTAATAATTGATTATTTTCTAATTAATAATTAATTCGGAAGGATTTTCAAAAAGTGATCTTTGGATCAAACTGTTTGCCGATACTCTTTTTTTATGTCGAGATTCTTCATAATAATTTCAAATGGAAGAATTAAACGGTTTTGACTACTAAAATCTATAGTCCATTTCAGGGTCATATTTTTACTCATCAGAGAGTACCGAAGTTAGATCGAAATTCTACTCAAAACTATTTGCATTGGACAGATTTAAATGTCGCAAAAGATATCCATCTCTTCTCGAGAACATACAGAATTACTGCCTGTGATCATCATACCAGGGTTCATTACTGTTTTTCTGTGAAAAAGCTGAATCATTGTTAAATCAAATTATTGCAGTGAGGAATTTTTAATTGATTTCCAGCCTTTCTTAGGATTTTCTGACGAAAGAAGGAATTGAGGTTAATGAAGAAGAGGAAATTCCTATGGACCAATGGATTCAAAACCAAGAACGACAACAAACTTCAAACAAAAACAAGGAAAGTGAAGAGAAGTTGGGATGGAGTCATGAGGTGATTGCCCTACCATCCATAAATGTTGGGAAAAACTTAAAGGGAATTGCGAAGTACACCTTAGCTGTTTTGTCAGTTTGACATATAAGTTTTTAAGACTTATTAATTTCAAATTTGGGCTTTCCGTTATAGAATGCTTCCATAGTTGTTGATTTTGCTTCTTCTATTGACAAAACAAATTTGCAATAATTCAGAAGATGGACTATTCGGATGCGCCAGCGAAGTTGCACTTGTTAGCTTGTTGGTTGGACGATGCTTCGATTCGGACATTCCATATGATAGTACATACAATTGACGATACTGTTGCGCTAGTAGAGAGCACTCGTGGGTTCAGGAAACAGCTTTTCCTCAAAAGGAACAAGCTTCCTTTCATCAAAGAAGGTCTTTATAGCACGGAGATTTCTCTTCAGATTCCTGCATTTTCCCTACTTGATAAGTTTTTTTATTTCAGGCACTCGACAGTTCTACCGTAGTACTGAGATACGGCCTGGCTTATGGGTAGAAGTTTACACCAGACCAATGTTTATTTTCAGTTGTGAAGGCCTAGAAACACGCAATTTCCTGAAACGTTTTGGACCTGTTGATTTCGAAAATTACGAAAAAGTGAGCTTGTCAAATTAGCGAAAATCTTCCCATATGTTTTTTGAATGTAATGTCTTAGAAATGAGTTTCCACTGTAGTAAATGAACCGAGATTTAGGAGTCAAGTCTTTTGTACAAAATTGAACCGAGCTAAACTAAACTTCAGGCTCTTATGGATGGACCACCGTCCGAAGGAAATGGAAATATACCATCGCAGATGAAATTTATTGCTGTAATGGTAGTTCATAATTTTATTTTATTCTTAGAATTCAATATTCAAACGGCTCCAGCTAATTTTTATATCCTTCCTTTCATACAGTAACTTCTTTTTATACTCTCTGCAATGGATTTAAAAGTTCAGCTCCCTTAGAACGTCAAATATATTTTGAACAAGACGGGGTTTAAAACTTGAATTTCCAAACAAATTAAAAAACATTTTCAGGAGGGAGTAAAAGGATTATTCGAAGACATAAATTTTTTGATAACATTTCATGTCGATAAAGAGAAGCTGGACATTACTGAAGCTGTAAAAGATCAAAAATGGTGTTCTGGACGAACATTCCTTAAAGGCATCAAGTACAACAGGTATGGATTGGTTTTGAAATTTACTGTGCGAAGTCATAAATTTTGAATCTTGTCAAAATTTCATAACTTTTCTTTTTTTGCGCTTGCATCATATTTCACTGCTATTGATTGGTTTGAATTTGCCTGGAATGTACGTTAATTGTACTGTGAACAAATGCATATTATTATACGTTGCATTACAGAGTGATTTGAGATATATTTAAAATCCAGTTTAAAATTCATACTCATATCTACAGCATGGATAAATATAAAATTGGCTCTATTCTGAGAGTTTATCGATGGGACTTCCGTTTACTGGAAGCTGACGATATAACACGGCAATATTTACTTTCAAAACAACAGTTGTAACAAAATAATCAAATTCAACACTTGTTTGCATTAGAATGTTTCTTTAAGATAAAACTTTTATATGAGGATTCATTACCTGTTTTTCAAATTAGAGATTTCTGTAAATTGATTATTAGACCAAAGATACTGGACTAACTTTAAAAGTAAAAATTAGTTTCTCAGCCAAAATTATTTTTTTTTCTCACTTTCCTCTCCAGCAAAAAATGTTCTTCGAATTAAACCATAGGTAGCCTGTACTGTTGATACTTTGTTTCATTTTAATGTGATATTAATTATTTGATGATATCCCTTCACTGAATAACAAAGTTAATAAGGTTTCCCATAATTTGTTATAAAGATTATTCTTATAATAGAAAGATGAAATTGCTTACAATTTACGAGCTATTTTCAAGAGACAAGTTGGTAAAACCAACTACGGAAGTATCGTTCCAGCGATTTATTCGGTCTGCGAAACATGACAGCTGTTTGTAACAAGTTAAACCAAATATAATGCCAAAAATAAGAAATACTAGTATGAAGAAAATAATTCCCAAATGGTTCGACCCTCCCAACTGATCAGCAACGCCGCTTCCATTATTTACTTCTGTAAAATAGTACTTTTGAATCGAATTATTTAAGTTAGAAACAAAAACAATTGCAAAGTACTCATTCGTTGTCACCTCGAAAGAGTGCGGAAAGACTCCAACTATCCTAATACATGAGTTTTTTGACCTATTTGTAATTTCTTGACTTATATTTATTTGTTTGCACTGAGATGTTTTTCAGAAAGAGTTTGAAAGAACAAAAAATACAAGGAAAACATGAAAAACATGTTCATGAAAGTCTGCAAACTCTTTCTTCACTTTTCTCAATCTGTACTTGAAAATGCTGATGTTCCAAAATAAAAAGAAAAGGACCAACAGTATAATATAGGACGAATCCTTTATTGGTGATACTGATATCGGTTTTAAAGTAAACTGTCATCGTCTCGGCGGTACTTCGTAATAAATCTGTGAAAATTTCAACTCCACTGGTACTGCAAAATTAATCATGGGATTATGATTAGATATTTTGCTACTCTGTACATACAGTTTCACACATTCCGTAAGCAATTATTATAAAATGAGTGTCTTGTGGATAATTTAAAACATAACGAAAAAAGAAAAGTACGAAACATTAGTACCATCAAAAATAGCCAACACATCTTCGTTAGGCTCTAAAGCTAATTCAGTGATATTTGCAACAACAATGCATCCTTGTGGTGCGGTTATCAAGTATTTGCATTTCATCAATTTACAGTAATGATTGGGATAGTCGGGTGATGTGAGCTGCTTCCACAAACCTTTCTTTGCCTTCAGTTCCAAACAGCCACATTCACATACTGAACTATGCTCAGTGAAAATTTAATTGAATTCTAAATTTAAATTGGGTAGCACTTAAAATTTGAATTTTAATACGTGTTCCTGACTATTAATTACTTAATCACCTTTTATATTGTATTTTTATTGTTAAGTAAAAATTCAAATTGACATTTTTACATTTCCTAATAGAAAACAATTTTTTTCCTGCAAACACAGCAAATAGCTTATAAATGGACAATAATGACTGCAATTTTTGGAAATAATATGAAACCAAGTGGCAAGCTTCTATGTAAAAGATAATTTATATGTTATTTTATAGAAGAAATATTCTATTTAAAAAAGATAATTTATAGAAGAAATATTCTATTTAGAATAAATCACTAAATTTCTATTTATCCTTAATAGACAGAAAAACAAACTTGATTTGAGCAGTATTTTTGTTGATATCGAATGCCAAGTGATACCAAATCATCATTGGTGTATCGTTCGTTACCACCTCCGTTCCACTTTGAGTTAGTGCTGGTTCGAAACTGTATAAATACACTTTGTATATATTATCCTCAAATTACTGGAATATACATATGAACGACTCAGCGAACAATTGCATGGCTTATTACAAATTTTAAAGTATAATATTACAACTTCGGAAATCTAAGCGCTCACATGCGCAGTTATTTAATTATTTTTGAATACGTGACGGTTTCAAATAAAGTTATTCACTAAATTGTTATATTCATTTAATAGTTGTTCCTTAATTTAATATGTGATAAATTGCACAAAGGAAAGTTAAATTTAAGGCTGTTCTTATAGCCAGAACATATTTTGACAGACATAGTAATTCACATCTCGTTCATTGAGATGTGAAGGAATGATATTGTAATTATTGATGTTTATGAACACTTCCAGAAATTCTTCTTCGCCATTCTTGAAAATGTAAGTAATATTTACGACCAGTCGTATTCGGTCCGTATTCAAAGCCATTAACAAGGAATATTTCAAATATTCTGATAAACTATAAATAAACATTTAGCTCAAATTAATAATTTATCCCACTGTTTTACTCGCATTTCGTTGTTGAGCACGTCAACAACATTTATCTGATAGATTAGAACTTACCGTTACAGGACGATTAAACTGAAAAAAGCAGTCTAGAAAGCCACAGCCCACGACTGAATTGAATGAAAACGTTCCTGCTGATGAAAATTCCAATGGCTGTACTTCACCTTTACATCGGCAATCTTAATTTTTAATAATTTTACTCATTTTTTCTCAAATGTTTTTTTTTTTTTTTTTTTAACAAAAGATGAAGAAATAAAACTTTACTAATTGAATATTTTAATAAGAGAATGTAATTACCACTTTCCTTTTGTATGGCACTAATAGTCACATTATTTGTAACCGTAGAATCAGTAATCATTCGTAGCACGGCCCTTTCTCCGCAGAATGTAAAAAATCTATTACGACTTGCTGATAATTCACCAGTGCGACTACAACATTTATCCAAGCTTCAATTTACTGTATTTTTATATCTGTATTTTTTCTGTTTTAGTAACAGAACTTCGATCTTCATAGCATTTAAATATCTTTTCCAAACAATTATTAAAGCAGTTTTATGAAAAGCAAAAGCAGAAGCAGATGATCATAAATTAACCATTTGAACTTCTCCCACCCCTTGTTTATTCCTAAGAGATTATTCAACAATTACTGATGTCATAGAAAAGATATGTAAAAAATATTTATTAAGCAAAAATTATCAATGTTAATTTTGAAGTGATAAAAGCATGTAAATCCTGATTACTTCATAATAATAATGCTTTGCCACAATGGATCAGTTTTGCACTGTAACTTATTAAATATCTAGATGAATGCTTCGATCTGTCTAGGAAATGCACGAAATCAGAACCGTGTTCTAGGTTGAATGAATGAATTTCTAAGATTATTGCATTATGATGGGTAGAATCGATAGCATATTTATGAAGTCGAAGCTCTGTTTCACAGTCCAATTTGTCACAATATTCAAGAGGAAATCCGGGAGAGGACAGTATGGTTGGACGGTCAATTCGAATAGTATAACTTCTCGAGAAACATTTGCAAAAGCTGAATAAAAGCAATTTTTGGTCTTTGATTGTCAAATAATAATTTACAGTTTTTATAATGTAAGGATGGTTTCAAATGAAGTAGTCAAAATGTAATCAAGATTACTTCATTTGAATTCGATAAAATTGAAACTTACGGCTGTCAGTGCGGCTGAACTGAGCTTCAAATAAGAATTTGCTATGTGCTGTAGCCGGAAACAATTCCGGCTGCATTATTTTTATCTGTATCAATATAGAATTTGTTCGTGAAATTATTTCTTTCGGGGGAACTTCCATCAATCCAGCACTCCTATAGGAAAACAAAAAGTCTTACAAATCGTAAAAAGTCATACAGCAATTTTGCTAGCATTTTACATTACTTTCCACAGTGACTGAAACAACTGGTTTTTATCTGTTCAAAAGTATTCTGAAAATGGTTATACATACTCGAATAACGGAGTAGTAGTATGATCTGCTGGAGGAACTTGGTAATTTTCCGTTTCATAAATGATAAACTTAGCTTTATAAGCGAGCGATTTTAGATCTAATTTTATGCCATGACCTGCCCTAGTGTTAAGCATATAAGCGCAACCAGCAAAGTATGTGAAATTAGTTGGCGGGCTAGGTAATGTTTTATCTTCATTCGTCGCTTCATAGAACTGACAGGAGTTAGCTGTATCTTTTGAATATTAAGGTTAAATAATTATATGAATTAAAATGGAAAAAATACCAATATCCAAATAATACTTGGATAATCTGATTGTCAATTCGCATGTCAGTTTGATGAATTGAATTAATAAAGATGAAGGAGCTACAGTTCTTAACTCATATTGACTTAAAATAATAAGAAGCAGAAGTAACCACTTTAAGTTTCAAATGGTCAGTTCATGCAATCCGTAACGAAACATTATTCATTTACAGAAGCAAGGAAAAGCAGAAAATTACCAACACAGCATACTTGCTGAAGTGATATTGACTCTGCTAAAGCGAGCATGAAATCCGCCAAATTTTCTGTACTGTCGGTGACGAATTTCAGGATGAATCCACTGCTAATAGAAGAAGCAAATGATGGCCAACCGATGTCTTTCCCGGAAAGCCTAGCCTTTCTCAAGTTTTACAATATTTACATTAAATTATTAAGGAAGTGAAAAATTAGAAATTTGGCTATCATTTATTCTTTCGCACATCAACTTCTAATTTATTAAGTTGTCATTACCCTTTACAAAGCCTTTTCTATCACTCAGTGCATTACTTATTAGTAATTCACATCAATCTTCAGATAAATATTTAACAGCAAATATGCAGCAGTGTTTTAACATTTTACTTGCAATCTTTTACCTTATTCCTTGGCGTCTCCATGCTTTCAACTTATTGGGACACCTGAGAAGAATTGTAAGGGAAGTGCGATTGTCATAGAAAGAAGCTGTAATGTAAACAATGATTTCTTCTGAAAAAAAAAAAAAAAAAAAAAAAAAAGAAAGTGTGAAGGTTTCTGTAAGTTACACACGTAACAATACAAGCCGAATATTGAGTGTTAGCAAATATAAATGTTTGATGAATCTCAAGAGAATCATGTCGTCGTTCAGTTTCAAAAGAAACAATTGATAAATGAATTGACTGACCCGGAATTGCATCTATCTGCAACTGATCGGATGGGTATTCTCAATGCAAATCTAAAGAGGAGATGGAGCAAAATAGCACATAGCTTATGATACTGCTAGATAACTAAACCTTTCATATTCATTCATATATATTCCTATAAAATGGAATAAAAAAAAAGATCACAAACAAAAACCTCAATTTACAATTTAGATTGCTACAGTAATTGGTAGGATAACCAGGACTTTTTATAACACAGTTGCAACATCAATGCCGAAATTCAAAGATCCACATTTACATGGATCCTGACGATTCGATTCCGTATCTATAGTCATACTTCCATGCAAAATACTGTCTGAATATTGGGAAAAAAACTTTCAAAAACTTAAGTAGCACTCTGTCATAGTCAGCTTCTTGATATTTTTTCTGCCTCAAAGCTGATAAAATGCTTCAAAAAAAAAAAAAAAAAAAAAAATTGTTCGAGGAAAATTACCAGCAATCTTACCGATATATACAGTGTCATTGATAAAAGTGAAATAAGTGATGAAATAAATGGGTAGTCGAGAGAAGCTCATATGTGCAACTTTCATTTATCATTACATTTGAAATGTTAACAGAATGTTTTGCCATACAGTACAAGTTTTGCTGATGGTTAAGCATAGGATAGGATGGTGTTCTTTTGGTATATAGATTGTTTGTGGCTTGACGTGATCGGGGATACCGATTGAATTACATGCAATAATAAACAATGCTAACGATATCGAGAAAAAAACGTCAGCTGAAAAATCGAGGAACTTCGATATTGCTTGAAATTCAACTTCTGAAAATTTAGTGTGCTAATATTTCTACACTTTTCCTATGAAATTCATATTAGCTACACATATTAACTACACCCTGCTTCATCCAAAACACTCAAACCGACCGAAAAAGAACTCTGGTCATAAAAAACCCCTGTTAGAACTACTTTGCCATCAAGATCTCAGATCGTTATCTAGAAACATCTTTTGCCTAGAACTTTCCAAACGCTGAAATGAACGTAAAAGATTTCTAACATAGCAAGGATCCTCCGACTGTTTGTGAAACACACTTTAAATCTAAACTGATAAGCTTATTAACTCTATTTGCCAATCTATCTCAGATAACAAGTACAGTTTTTCATTTGCCCTTCCACTGTAACAATGTATGAAAAGCTGTAAATTTTAATTCACTTTCACTTCCAGAATATACACTGAACAAAAGAAATAATTAAGGATAACCATGGAAAGGAAAGATGAAAGCAGCACAAAAATGGAAGACTGTATAAGAACGCTTATGTAGCAGCAACCCGCACTATTAATAAAAAGATGACAGTAAGACCATTTCCCAATAGAAGCCCTCGCTCTATTCCAAAGAAAATATCATTTGCCATGGGACGGAAATTTGCTCCCATGAACGATAATGCATGTTTTCCAAATCTTAATCTCAATTCTAACAAGCTCTTTCCATCCAGCATTAGTCCCTCTAGGAATTTGATTGTAGCAGCGCACAAATTTATCAAAACCGATGATATATCCATGAAGATGATAATGCTTCAGCCAATTGAGGAGCAGGGTAAGTATAAAAAGAACGAACTCAACAGAGGTAAAAAACTTTCAACGAAATCCTGACCAAAAAATATTTTGCTTCGCAAAAACCGAGGAAATTATGCTTTCTTCTCACCTAATTTGTTTAAACATGAAAGACATATGAATTCCTACATTACTGCATGCTCCTAAAGACTTTAAAAACACTTATGGCAGTGGAACACAATTAAGAATAGGAAATAGTGCCGAAAAGTAGTAGAACGACCACAATTCTGAAAAATGTTAAGAGGACATATCCTTATGACTTGTCTTGTTAAAGATATAGAGTGCGGAAAATAAAACACACATTTGAGCGATTTAAACCGGAACAAAAGTAGAAGCACATTTCAAACACTTCATAATATGCAAACATTAAGAAACTAGCAAGCTACAGTTACGACATATTGCGATTAATATTCAAGTGCAATGAGATTTAACCTCATCAAAGATTTTATGGATCTGGTTTAACAGTAGAACTAACATTTTTCCAATCAAAGTTTTAACATTCAGAGCGCTTATTATTCGGATTCATTACATTTGTTTTAAAATACCATACGATTACAACCAACGTAACGTTTACTTTTATATGAAATAACCTCTGCTGATTCATGACTAATCCAATAGCTGATAAAGAAACACTATTCTCTTAGCCATTCGAAGCTTTTCTTCGTATATCAAATAACATTGCATTCGAAAAATCACTAACCGATTACAGAACTAAATGACAACAAATTATAAGACGAGTTTTGATTATAACTTTCTGCACACCCTTATCTAGCAAAAAAAAGTTATGCTATGAAACATCCCACAGCACAGCTTTGAATCGAATATTACATCATTTAAAGAAGTTACAGGTTTTGTACAAAAGTATTTTAAGAATTTAAACATCCCAGATTTCTTCCGTTGAAATATGTTTTCCGCATAGTTCCTCATTAGTGATGGTAGCACCAACGATAGTATCTGATTTTGCAGTTGATCGATTCGAAATTTTAGAATATAAATCTTCACTACCAGAAAATGCCAAATCATAATGCGGTGGGATTGAAATTGGTCGTTTATAGCCATTCAAATTTGTGCCGTAGACTTCCTTTGCATCAGAAACACAGTTCTGATCAGCAAATATCTCCTCTTGACATGATGAGGAGTGTGGGAAAGTTGTTAAAGCTTTGCTAGTTGAACGAGTAGCAGTGATGACAGCAGCAGAAGTAACAGCAGAAATAGCACTATCATTTGACAGATCCAATGGTATATCGGCTGATGTGGGAAGCGCATCCGGTGATGAAAGATGCAAGTCGGTAGGAAGAAGTGCTGTTGCTGAATTCGCTCTCAAATGTATATGAACCAAACCAGCACGTGTTCCGGATGATGTTCGCCCATGATGTACGCATCTGAAATCATCATGACTGGGATCAAAACTACGACCTAGAGTCAACATAATGTCTAAAACTGATTGTAGCTCTAACTGCTGACGTGGTTGTCCATTCATATAAGTGGAGGAGTAAAAACGCAGAAAAACTGCATTTCAGGTTTTGATCTTAAAGCAGAACAGCTACACTGCATCAATTAAATGACTATTACAGTAATGAATATGATAAAACATTATAAAATAATAAAAAAATTAATTTTAAGTAATTAAAATTCATTGTGACGTTAGTAAGTTGTTACTTATTTCTGCGTAAAATGCATTACTTTACCACTGAAAGCCTGTGATCTATTTTAAGGAACCAAAGATCTTAAATAATTCTCCTTCTATCTTTTATCTATGTTACGTAAATTATAAAATACCGATTACGGGAACGTTCTGTTGTAAAACAACGTCTGTCAGCAATTTTTAGACGCATTTGTTCCATACGTGCCATATCTTCGCGAAATCTGAATATGACGATTTTGAAAACAAAATTAGAAAAAATTGCACATTTAATTATAAATTTAAAAAATTTTAACTATAATCATAAAACAGCAACAAACCTGCGGTCGTCAGTATTCCTAATGCGATCAATTTCTCTTTCCAACAAACTCGTTCTACTTTCTGAACTTTTGCGTTCGTCTTCCAGTTTCTCGGACAGTCTTTCTTTCTCCTCTGTTAATTCTGCTATCTTACGATCTTTCTCACTTTTCTCTTCTTCCATCTTTTTCAGCTTGCCAGAACTTCAAAAGTTGTGATGAAATCGATAAACATAATAGCTGTATTAAGATAAAGATTCAAGAAAAACGACAAGCCTTTCGATACACTATGAAGTTAAACAATCTAGAACTAACAGTGTATCCGACTGTGTGGCTATTGCCATTTTATTTCGCTGCATTTCCTCATGAAACTTGGCTTCTAGTTCAATTACATTCTTTTCCAGCTGCGCAATAACATCCTCTAAACAATGCAAATTCTTTCAAAAAGTGATAAAGCAAACAAAAAGAAAAAAACTCTCTGAAGCTAAATATCTAAAATAAAAAAACTTCAATATCTGTAATAATAAATCGTATAAGAGAATTTCGATGTCTGCTAATCAACTGGAAAAGAACCTTTCGCATGAAGAATCTTTTTGAGTTTTGTTAATTCATCATTTTCTGCATTTCTAGCACTCGAACCCTTTTTCACTCCAACTGAAACACTTTCTTTAGCCAATTGCATTTTCAGTTGTGCATTTTCCATCTCAAGTTGTGCCCTTTCACGGTTCCACTCATCTTCCCGTGACCGTTTATCGAACATTGATTTCTGACAGCAGTTGTAAAATTTAGGGCTTACTTTAAAACCATATGCACTAAAAAAACATTTTCGAGATTTTAGAATTATAATAAGAAAATAACAAACTTCAACAGCCTTCTGCAACGATTCAGCCCTTTCTACTTTTTCTGTAAGCTCCTCCACTTCTTTTTCTCTTCTCCATGCTTTTTCTTGTGCATTTCCCAGAGCTTTCTCCAAAATCTAAAAGAATCAAGTCTCACCAAAAAGAAAAAAGAAAATGACCCGCTAATAAAAACAAATGGAGAGCAAACTTGAATGTGATTTCTTTGATCCTTCAAAGTAACTTCCAGTGCTTCAATATCCATTTTCTGGCGCTCTTTACATGTCATCAATTCTTTATCTACAACGAAAAGAGGTTTCAAAAAATTAGAGAATCCGTCAGCAAAGAAGTAAGAAACACTTTCACTTTCAAGGAAAAAAAAAACCAAGGAAACAAATTTTCTACAAAACAACACTAAAACTCTGGTGAATTGTTCTAATTTACTAAAATCTCTTTCCTACAGACACAGATTTCAACGAATATGAGGAATGAACAAACTCTGGGGAATGATTTCACTGAGCAATAAATTAAGCTTGTTAATTTGTTCTGACTGATCTTCTGCTTGTATCCTTCGTATTAATTCAGCAATTTTCGTTCGCAACATTTCGTTTTCAGAAGCATACCTATAGTCATTTTTGTAAATTATGATAAAGTTAACTTTTGCAGCCTGGTAAGGCTGCAAAAGAAAAGTAAACTGTTTTTCGCTTTTGTTTTAAGAAGATAAAACATATAAAAATAAAAACTGAAGAATGCATGTCTTTCATCAACTCTGAACACACCTTGCTATCTGCTGCTCCATTTTCATACGTGCCGCTTTCTCAAGATTGTCCTGCCTCTCCTTCTGTGCCGTTAAATTCTCATATTCCTTTTCGATAGTTTCATAAGCTTTTTCCAGCTTAAAAAAAAAAAAAAAACATGAATTGGTGCTAACGCACTGAACCATAAAATAGTAGAAAAATTTTTTTCTATTTCTGTTACTTGTGTATCACAAGTAACAGAAATAGAAGCAGGAGTTAAATCTTAAAAATAAGTAAAAATGAAAGGAAGACGAAAGGACCTGTTGTAAACGACTGGCTTTAAGAGTCAAAAAATCGCACTGTTGTTTCAGGGCAGAATTTTCGTCTTGCAGCGCTCGCACTAAATTTTGATTTGCAATCAGTTGTGCCTTCAAATTTGCATGCTCGCTGCCGTCAAATGGAGGACTGGGATGATAAACTGGTGAGACAGATTCTGCGACTCTGAAATTTCAAATTCTCTTATACTTATTGCACAGTCTTCTTTCCACATTTGTTGTGAACTCGTCTTTCAACCAACTGTAGTAAAAGAGTTGGACTGGACAAAAAGAAGTGCTATTATTAAAAAAAAAAAAATATTCTCAATGCAATACAGCAAACGCACAATTCGTTTTTCTGGTCGTTGATTGTTATGAGACATGGCTGTGAATGGCTCATCGGTGACATTTGCTGTTGAGCAGTCACTGCAGAAGCTGCAAAGCTTCTGAAATAGAGAGATGCTATTTGCGAAAAAAAAAAAAAAAACACAATAGAGTATTCTATCTTCTACAAGTTGGAAAAACATTTATTATAAATTAAAAAAACTGAGCTATAGAAATTGTTGTCTGTTATTCCAGCAAAACTTTAAAAGATCAAATGTTTAATGAAGTATAAGTAACCAGCTTTCTGAATTTTCACCTCCGAGAAGAATCGAGACAGCTGAATTAAGAATTTTCTTCTTGTGAGATATAATTTTCATGAAAGAAACCTTACAGACACAAATAAAAAATATTTACTTGATAAGTTCATGATTGTTTCGACTTGACAGTTGCTGCTGAATTACTTGTGACTGATATTTGTTAATCATTTGCTGTAATTTAGTATCTTCCGCTGCATCAATTCCGGTATCGTCTACTATAAAAAATAATAATCTGCGGTAAAATTCAAGGGACTGATCTACCCAAATGCAATTAATTTCACTTAAAAATATATAAGGAAAAGAAGTAGTGCAGTTGTATGCAATAAATCTACTAGCACAGTTATCTTAGTTTGCTTCAGTTATAATCAACAAGAGATCATTTTTGTCAAACTACTACTACTGCTTGACGTATTCATGTGAGTTAATAAGCATTTATTGTTTGATCCAATCAAAGTATCGACATATCGCACTAGCTAACTGAAAGATTAACAATTCGGGATAATAACGCTATGCAAAACAGATTCAAATTTAAAATCGAAAGAATAAAAAGCGACACACCTTGCTGAGCATTTATTTTATTGCTTGAAGTGGAAATATTACGAGCCTCATGCAGCAATGAGTTGAGGATTCGACCTTCTTGCAAATGCATGGGACTTACTGCATGTACACGTCGATCGCGTGGTTCTATTGACCAACTTCGTAGTTCGCGTCGTTCGCCATCCATAACCTTCCCGTCCGTCCCCGGATTGATCGGTGAGAAAATTTTCTTGCAACTGAAAAGAACGATAGTTAAGTCATCTGGAAAGGGTGACAAAAATGTCCGGTACAAACCTTTGGTAAGAGATAGTAATACTATCTTCATTTCAAAATATTGTAGTATATTTTGCAACGACAGAAGTTCTTTAAGACTAGCCAAATGAAATATCCGTTGACTAAAACTATAATGACTGCAGTGTTCTCATCACACTCTTACAGTATACTAACTCTTGACCTTTGAAGACGCTCCCTTCGTCAAACACCAAATGTTGTACAAACGCAGGACCTTATTATATGCCTTTCTTCTCAATTACACCAATGCAGTAGAATTTAACGCGGCTCTCGGGACTCAATCTCGAGTGTTTTATCGAAGGTGCTGTTTTTTTCTTAATTGTAGTGATTTAGGAGATAGGTGTGATTGCTCAAAGTACCATTTGTCCTTCACCATATCTCTGATTCCATGACGCACGCATTCTCGCACTTAATTTTTGCCAGTAATAGTTATGTTCCTTCGTCACCGCCTGCGGTTATTCCTTTTTTCTCTCTGGAATAAATTTTCTATCGCAGCTGTGGTCACCGTAACTTTGATGACTCTTCTTGCTTAAATTGGTTGAATTATATAAGAAGAGAAGTGGAATTTCAGGTTTTGTTAGATGATTACGAACCAAATTGGTACGGTTATCTTAGGTATAGCTCTGCTCTTATCCTTACGGGATATCTATGGACATTCCAAAGATGAATATGACGACGATGAAGTGTTTAAAAAGGAATTTGGTGATGAGGTTGGTTTTTTACAAATTACTGCGAAAAGCACTGGTTATTTAATCATTTTTACAAGATACGAGATCGTGTTTAGACCGATTCTTTTTCTCATATAATTTCCCAAAAAAAAAGAAATTTTTTTTTCCTCAAAAAAAAAGGATCAGTCATATTTCTCCGCTGTTATCAGGAGAACTTTCTGTTCCAGAAAATGGACGAAAAATTAGAGGATGCGGACTACATTCGAGTTAGGCAAGAATCAGCTCAATTCAGTGTACCGCCACATACTACTAGGAAACTTCCTAGCATGAAGTTTTTGTTTTGGTTAGATTTATGATTTTTGAGGATTCTATAAAAGCCATCAAACTTCCATTTATCCTTTTTAATACACAACTGGTGAAGTTTGGACTTCAGCCGAACTTGCTTTATATTTAGACTGACATTACTCAAAAAAATTGTGACATGAGAGGAACATACTTGCATAAAAATGACTTACTTTTATAATTTCAAATAAATTGTAGTGTTTCATGTGGTTATCGGCAAGCATTTGATGAATTTTCTCGTTACATACATGAGAAGTATCCGTCAATGAAAATTGATGGCGCTAATTATTCACCTAAAGCATGGAAAAACGTTTTGGCGCAGGTTGAAAATCATTCCTTTGCTTTAATTTGTATGTGTTACTTAAAACTTAATATATTTCAAATATGGTTGAGAAAATTTGGATTGGATTTTGTCTTATTTTACTCTCTAAAAGTGCATGATCTGCAAAATTTGATAATCACTGTTTAATACTGGTTGTTTGCTGTTTGTACTTTGACAAGAAGTTTAACTTTTCGATATTATGTCCATTAAATGTTGTTTGGAGTTATGTTAGGATTTTATGTATTAAATTACTTCGTAGGACTGGACAATCTAAAAAGACCTAAGCAGTTAATTAGCTCATCACTAGCGGTACATTTTTGATGAAAATTTCCAAAAAACACATAATATTTCAGATTATTGGGTTAGGGAAGATAGTGCTCATTGTATTGATTGTAATGGGGCAGGATCCATTTGCATCGATTGGACAGCCAACACCACGCATTTTCTCATGGGCCTTGAACAACAAAGTGTCATCTTGCATGATGTTGTTTCTTCTATCTAACACTATTGAAAGTTAGTTATCTGATTTTGACAACGTTGTCTTTGAGGAATTGGGATTGTAACATTACTTTCATACCACTTGATACAGCTTTGGAGTGCTCTGATAAAAACATCTTTGCACTCGTTTTGAGATTTTAAAATGACTCGATGAGAGGTGAGTTGGTTTTTTTGAAAATGAAACAGTGGAAATCTTTGAAGCTAATTTGCTTTGGGACTGTCTACATACAGGGAGCTCATTTATTTAAATCCAAAAGTATGAAACAATGATTTTAAAACGATTAATTATTCAGTTTGTTCATCACTCCAGGCTCTCTTATGTCGACAGGAGCGTTCGAGATTTACTTGGGCGATGAACAAATATGGTCAAAACTTGAAAGTGGACGAGTGCCATCACCATCAGAACTGGTTCAGATTGTTGACCAGCAAATGGAACTGCAAGGTGTAAGGGTGGGTTTTTTACCAAGTAATTTGTTCGATTTGATTTGATGGTTTTTTAGTTTTTGTTTATTTCAGGCTTCCGATACATTTACATTCGACTCATCCTGATAAGATGTCGAAATGATTATACGCTCAAAAACGTATGTAGTTTTGGTGATTGAGTTACTGAATCTAAGACTTATACATGAGCTTAATTTTTTCCAAACATTTCTACTTCACTGGTTAGAGAAATTTTCCAGAACATTTCTAGGTTTTTTGAATTTCTTGTTGCAGTTTTATAGTGTAAACGTAGTATTTTCGAAAACTGTAACCACCAGATTAGGTAAAAAGAGTGATTCATAATAGAATTACATCAGCTTTCAAATCTTTATATCTATATATATATATATATAATCTTTATCTTTCAAATCTTTATATATATATATATAATGTATATATATATAATGTCTCCAGTCAAACCTATTGGGAATTTGTTTCAGCAGTCACTCGACTTTTTTTTTAAGTTACTGTGTTTGTGAATGTCCCAATGCTTTTCTTTTTTTATAATCGTTTAGTTCCAGTGGTTCTAGTTCAGAGAATAATTTCTGATCTTTGGCCACAACGTCGTCGTCACCGTGTCTTATGCCAGTGTTCATTATTATCTTCATCTTGAAATGCTTGTCTTCTATTTCCTACTTCTTAATTTTAAAAATGTTTGAATTGCGAATCACCGTAATTATGACAGAAGTTGATGTCATTTCTATGCCGAGTCAGTTCCTTGACGCAGTCTTTATTCCCAGTACTGTTATCGTTAACGTCCCGTTGCTGGGGCATTTTAATGTTCAAGATATTTCATTATTGGTTAAAGCTAGCCAATTTGAGAATTGGCACATTCTTAATGCTCCAAACTTAGTGCAATTAGTGTTAGCAGTGTAAAAGACGCTCTCCTTATCCAGAAAGCCAGGTTTTACAAATTAATAAAGCCAAAACAATCACTTGAATTCATCAAGTTTCATAATACCTTTTGAGTTCACTTATACCCACACGGCTCTAATCTGTGATTCATTTTTCACATGTTGGTTGAGTCAGTAAAGATTCTTTTTATTGTCATTCTATTAAAAATGAAGACCTTGACCAGGATTCTGCTCAAGTACCATCAACTCTAATTCGATAGGATGAGGAACACAAACAAGCTCATTTCAAATCCGGAAAACTTTGTCCTTGTCAAATACTACAAAAACAAATACGAAGTGGTACAGTCATAAATTATAACGAATGAAAGAAAAGTTTCGAGACAAACTTCACGCATTTTACGTGTTTAACAAAAAAAAAAATCCTGCGTGCAATGACATAACATGTAGCATATCGTGTACATTACTAATAAATCATCAACACAGACAGAATATTCCAAGGAACTAAACAATGCAGCAAATATTTTGTAGATTTCTCTTCATAAAAATCTTCGCAAAAAGTATTCTGTGACGATTCTAAAAGTCAGACACCGATAGAAATCAATATCATTTAGAAATAACAATCTAGGAATCGGGAGCTCTAAAAAAACGCAACTGATTTGATCAATTATTTGAGGTAATCAAGACGTAGAAGGTAGATATCCTGTTACGATTTCAAGTTCTGTAAGATACTAAAAGAAATCAGGCTGAATTCCTCATAAAATGAAAAAATTAAACAAAGGATAAAGAACCACTGGATGAGGCTTGATCTAAACCTAGGAAGTTTCTTGGAAATAGGAACACAATGACAAACATACCTTAACGTGGACAGGATACACTTATTTTCAGAAAGACTTTGTATATTTGGAGAGTTTTTCCGCAAATTACAAGAATGAAACTTGGATGGAAAACAGCAAGTACTTCGCCTAATTATTTCATATACAATATAATATAATATGAGCAGAATTGAGGAACAGAAAATAAAACTGCACAGCTCCCAAATCATATGTAAAAAAAAAAAGAAAAAAAAAAGTTACAGGCACCAAACTCAAGTTCCCTCTGTGATGAAACAAATCTGAATAGGAAAAGATATACAGAAACACTACTGCCGTGCAATCTTGCTTCCTTTTTTCTTATTCAAAGATAAAAAGAACAATCTCTCTCTTTCCCAGTCATTATTTGCAAACTTCGAGTAAACATTGCTGTCAACAAATAATGCACATAATTTTTCAGGGAATTGTGAAATCTTACTATAAATCACGACAGCAAGAAATGATAAGCAAGGAACCAGTGGTAGTCTGATAAGATCATGGAGTAGCTACAAAAGCATTTCATTCAGCTAAATAGAAACGAAAAACTGCTTTACACACAAGTGAAGAAAAAAAGCTCATGCTTTCATATCCTGTATTTGTTTGATGAGATAAGCCTTCTCGTCATTAAACTGCTCGTCTTCTGTACGATCAGTATGGAAATTAGTAAGGAATTCAACTAGTTTCTCCTTATTCCTCAATAAAATATCAGCAACAGCCTTCGATTTGTTCGGATTTGCCACAAAAACCTAGAAAATCAAAAGATCCAATCCATATGCAGATAATAATAATTTGCTCATTGAAATAAATATATGATTTATGACTACAAAGGAAAGAAAGTAAATAAACCAGACTATAGACAATTGAGGTACTTAAAACTTTTACATATAAATAATCCCCAAAAAATGTTTTGAGTTTATCATATGAAATCATAATGTTTGCACAAATGGTCAAATTCTACTTCTCCTCGAATTTGTCTATGATTACTGAGAGCAATAAATGATAAACCTTAAAAACATGAAATGCCTCAAATTGTATACTACGGCTTTTCTCTTTGAGCATATTCATCATGAGCTTGAGATTGTCAGCATTATTGATATATCTCGTCATTACATTAAAATTGTGACGGTCCAGCAATAATTCGCCTAACAACTGGAAAGAGATTAAAATCACCAAACAGAATAATCCTTCCATTGTCATTATATTAAGGAAAGATACCGAGAAGCAAGTTCTATACGTAGATTTCTCTGCAGATCAGTAAACGACAGTTATGATGACAAATGATAAATTCCACAAGAACAGAAACCTTTAAAGATTGTCTTCTTGTAACATAATTTTCTGAATTCAGCAAATTTTGATAGGCCTGGAAAAATTCGTCGTATTTGCTGTCCAGAAATTCAGCACAAATTGTCTTGTGTCTCGTGACTAATTCTTTAAAGGTCGAAAATGCGTCTGATGCAATATCGAATGTAGATACCTGGAACAAAGAGACGTACCGCCAAAGCTACAATTACTTTACCTTAGGAGTTGAACCGATAAGTCAGGAACTTCATTTCATTAGTGAGACTTCATATCATTAACGAGTTCGTTCATACTAAGAAGCAGTGTGTCTCGTGACTAATTCTTATTACCGAAGCAAATCACCTTCAATAGCTGCTGCAGCAACATGCTTAGTAGGCTCGATAATATCTGCCACAAACTATTTCATGTACTATATTCATCAATTCTGATATTAATAAATGGACAAATTTTGTCAAATATCGCGGTTTCCAAATTAAATGTCGTGCTCTATTCCTCATTACTAATATTCTGCTCTATTCATTGAAATAAAATGATACAGTGAGGTTTTATTAAAATCTAGAACTCAAAAAAACATATAACACTATGTGGAAGATTATACCGATTACCACTGATTGATCAGTAATTTGAAATGCTCCAAGTTATTAACCTATAATAAAAGCAAAAAGCTAACCTCCACATAATTGAAGAATTTGTAAAAATCATTGCCATAAAGAACCAATTTTGCAAGATTTTCATGCCTGATACATTCTCTTAACATACTACCACAAGTAACAGCTATCTCAGGAGTTTCATACCTGCAGAAAAAATCTGTCTATCACTGCAAACCACAAAATCAGCATCACTTCTTGTGATTTACTGAGAATCGCGTTCTGCGTGGAGCTATCGGTTTTTTCTGCTTAATTTACAAGTCATTTTGAACACAAATATATCTTTTTTTTTTTCCAAACAGGTCTCAATTTTGGACGGAAAACATACAAGATATAAAAGAATTTAGATGAAAAACCCAGTTTCTAACTGAATCCTTCAATATGACAATAGCTTTGTGTTTGCATAACAAAACCATCCTACTCTTTGGAAGAATTTAAATCAGGCATTTACTGAAACGAAAAGACTTGCTATTTCCAAAAAAAAATTTGCTCCTGCATTTCTTGAAAAAACTTTTACTGTTCACCCATTCCGTTTCTATCTTCTCCTTAACAAAGACGCATTCCACTTTTAACCCCACACAACTGCAATTAGTAATGAACTTCATATTTTTTGATGAATTTTACAAATACTGCTTGATAAGACAAACATCAGCTAACCCTTTAACAAGTGCTTCAAGAATCTGCGGTCGTGTATGCACATATTCCACCGTTGGTGAACGTGTTCCAATTTGCCGTCGCAGTAGATTGTTAAAAATTTGTGCAACATCCTTTTTTGCTTCGAAATCAAGCTTTATCAAGTTCTGGATCAGCATAGGAAGAATCGATGAATTATATGATTCCTGAGCCAGTTGTGCTACCTGTAAAAATTATTACTTCTTGGATGAGAATAGCACTAGGATTGCTTTGCTTCAATCGTTCAAGCTTTAACTCCGACATCTACTATCAAATTCCAACATCTATAACCAACAAATCGCCTCCATCTGGGATAAGTGCAAATGAGATTTTTTAAAACAAATACTAGAATCCTGAAGAAAAGCATTATTTTGAGTTTATGCTTTATGCTAAAGGAAAAATGCAGAAAAGAAACAATTCCTACAAAGTGGCTCCCACAAAGCAGCGTCAAGCACGAAAGGCTATGAAAGAAATTAACCTGTTCCAAGTGCGGTTCCTGACTCTCCTGTCCATAAATGATACTTTTGATTGCCTGAAGTGATTTGCTCACTTCTTCTGCAACTTTTTCATTCTTTTTATCTCCTCGTTCCAATTTTTCCAGTTGTGTCAATGAGTCCTTTAAATTTTTAACGATATCCGGAGGTGATTTATGCGATTTGCCAAACAGCGGCAGAGGCATTGCAAAGCAGTAAAAGCTGAAATTTAAAGCTTTTACGAAATTCAAGCTTTGGGAATAAGAACACTACACC